CACCCCTCAGCTGAGGAGGGGAGGGCCGCCATAGGAAGCAGGTTCCCCCCGGGGCAGCATCAGAATATTGTTAGAGGGATTTTCAGCTCTGCCAAGCAGCAGGACGGGGGCCGTGGTTTAAAGCCCTTCGTTTTTAGGAATATGATTCCCACCCGCCAAAGTCAAAATACTTTTTCCAACCAGTGTAAGATTCCCTTGGTCAGAGGAATGCCCCCCCCCCAAAGAAAAGACCCAATCTAGGCAATCTTTGTAGGAGCAAAACTGGAGAAAATGGAAAGGGTTGAGCTGAACGTTAATCAATGAAAACGGAAATGGCCGGAATGGTAGGAGGGCCTAGTGGTTGGAGGCTGTCCACCTTCAGTCTTCTTGAAATATCCTTTGGGGGGATCCAGGTGGGCTCTGAAGTAGACTGACTGTTTCCCTCTTGGCAAGTTTGATAAAATGCAATGCAGTTAGCCCTCAACTTATGACACTTCAGTTAATGACTGTTTGAAGTGCTGAAAAAAAGGGACTTATGACTGGTCCTCAGGCTTATGACAGGCACAGCGTCCCAGGGGTCACGGGAACAAGATTCAGGTACTTGGCCACTGGCATGTATATATGCCCCCACCCTCTCAATCTGAATTTTTAGGAGCTTATTCTCATTTTTAGAAGCCCCGGGGGATGCATGCATGGGAAACTTTACACATTTCCTAATTCTGCCTGGCAATTCAAAAAAAAATTATGCCAAAAAAAAAAACCTCCCAACTATCTGGGGAAATCATGCAGAAAACCTAATAAGGTTTTATAATGTTAGAGAAACTTTTAGTGACGAGACAGGCATGCAAACCTCCCCACATTTGGAAAGGTGCACGTTTTTCTGTGAGTTTTATTTTATTTTATTTCACTTATTTTTTTTTTGCACATGCATGCAAAAGGGAGACTTGAGAGACCCCCCTCCCTTTTTTTTTCCTTTTTACAAAGGTGATCTATAAAAGACTAGTTGCGTTCGCCCTACGACTGTAAGTAGGTTAAATCTTAAGAAATGAGCTCATAAAATCCATTTGCCGCTTTGAATGGCTAGAAATTGATATAATCTTTCACAATCCTTTAATTGGCCGAGAGGGACTTTCTAGCTAAGCATCCCACAAAGAGCTGAGAACAGCCTGGCTCAACAAAGGAGTTACTCGCCCCCCCACAACCTTGCCCTCTTTGGAAGAAGCTAATGACAATTGCCTTGGCTTGCTAGCTGAACGAAATTCCGTTCCTAATTAATGCAAACTGCTTGCTAGTTTGGAATTGAACTAAATGAACGCTTGGAAGGGAAAGATTAGCTTTGGAGACACCTGCTAGTCCGCATTTTCATCCGAGTTCATGCTGGCCTGAGCCAAAAGCATTGGGGCACCTGGTCAGCTCTGCTCCCTCTCTCAAATTCCTCCCCCCGCCAGAGATGCAAAACTCCCAAGGAATCCCTAGGGTGGGCTACAATTGCCCCCCTCCCAAGCGTTCATTTCACAGGATTTTGTGTTCAACGTCGGGAGAGTCCAGAGACTTTTAAAAAGTCTGAAGTATCTTGAGGTAAGAAGCCAAATGGGTAAGAAAGAACACACCAGCAGAGAAAATTGCGAGGCTGTGGTGTGTCCAAAGCTCCCTTCCTCAGACGGTGTCCATGCCCTGTGCTGTAGGAAGGCAACAGAGCGACAGGAAGAGGAAGAACTCAGAACCAGAAGGCACCTCTGAAGGTTCAGGGGCAGCCCTGGTGGATTTTGGGGGTGGCTCACTCCCAACAGCCATCCAACAGAGGGCAGCACCACGCTAGCTTTTGACTTGGAGAAGTCCCCGTGTCTTCTGGAGGCCAGAAAGGGCTCTTGTGTGGGTCCCAGATTTTCCCCTCCAATTCTCTGGTTTTATTCTGTCCCCTGAAGGACACAGCAGGATGTGTTTGGGGCCTCTAGGGTGAGTGGATGAGACCTTCTAACCACACAAGGTCTGGATTCCCATTCATGATGTCTTGTGTCGTTTCTGTTGCTCACAAAGGCCACTTCGCCCTTAGTAGGGGTGTTCCTCAGGAGGTGATGGAGGGGCAAGAAGGCTGCAGAGACCCTGCTAGAACAAGGGCTTGGCAAGGATACCCCTCCTCCGAACCAACTCCTCACGAGGTAAGTGCAGGGAGGCTGCATCCCCTCTCTTCTCCCTCCAGCATCTAAAACCAAGAATGCTCCGTCCAGTGGAATGCAAAACTGCTTTAGGGGGGGAAATGCAGGAAGTTTCACTGGCCTGGCATAACCTCAGAAGAAGCTCGGGTGATGCTACAGGTCGAGGGTGCCCTCTAGGGACCAAAGGAGCTCCCCCAAAACAAATAGCTCCTCTCTGTCTTTGGAACAAGTCCCAGCCTCTCCCTGTCCTGGAATTCTGGCACGTTCTCAGCCACCCAAGCGGCCAAAGCCTGCTCTGAACCTGTTAGGTGAGGTCAAGAGCTTGGCTGGAGATGTTTAGGGATGGGATGACATTAAGTGAGGCGGCTTCGTTTACACACCGAGGGAGGAGGAATCCACGCTGGTGTTCTCACCGAGGCTTCCTGAGACAGTCACAATCATACACGTCATTTCCAAAAACCTTTTATTTTATTTCAAGGGCAGTGAATTATATGCATTCACAGCCCGTAATGAGTCCCAAACTGTTTGTGAAGAGTCCAACAGAAGTCTGCCACAGTCTTTTGGGGATAAGGCTGATAAGCACCCACCTTTATTTCCCTTGAAATGCTGCCAACGGCTAAATTGCCCATTAGCTGTATAAGGCCAAACAGAGCACAAAGTCAACACGGAGCTTCAGAGTTTAAACCGACCAGATCGAACGACGTTGCTTCCTGCAAAGGCTCCTGTCCCTTTGCTCCTCCTTTATGTCTTATGGGAGGGGCCAATCACCTCCAAGCCTTACTCCCGAGTCGCCCCTTTTGTCTTAACTGTTCTTGCCTTCTGGCAGCTCTACGCATGAGCGCACTGGGAACAGGCTCCCCTTGTTCCTCTGCCTCGCTGCTGTCAGATTCTAGAGGCTCCGGAATCAGCACATAACTCCCAGATGTCCTTGGCCCCATCTCTGTGTTGGACGCAGGACCCTCGTCCGAGTCCTCCCCAGACTCCCGGACTGGCCCGTGTTCCTCCCCACTGTCCGACTCTGCTGCCAGCTCTGCAGGCTGCCGACGACCACAACAGCCGGGCTTTTACTGAGCTAAATGCTTCCTGAAAGCTGTGTCCTTATTCCAAGGGAGGGGAATATTAGTGAAATGGCATATTGGGGGGGGGGGGGGGCTGCAGACCCTGCCGGCGCAGCTGGCTGCCTAGCTTTCACTGAAATGCCCACCGCCTCCCGGTGTTAAATGCGGACATTAGCATTTTAATCACCTCCTTGAAAATTAAAAGCAGGTGTGATGACAATGTTTGTGAAGGCTCCCCTCTAAAGCTATTTGCTCTTCCTCCCACTCTGAAATCCAAGTGCTGAGGCTGCCCCCTCCCCTAAAGGAAATTCCGCCTTGCAAGACGGAAAAGGGTCCCACGAAATAGGCTCAAATGAATACATACCAAACTTTGCATTTTATTGATTTAAGGCAGCGATGCCTCAGTGGCAACCAAGGAGAAGGGAAAAAAATTCCTTGGGGTATAAAAAGCCCTCCCTCCCCCAGGGACAAAAAGCACCACCTGGGCCTTTAGTCACCCTCCCTCCCTTCCACCCCAACTTTGGGACTCGGCTGGAGAAATCTAGGAATCTTTCCCAGCTGATCGGAGATCTCCCGGGATCTGCCTTGGAGAAGGTGGGGAGGGTTGCCTCTCAGGGGTCTCCAAGGGGTGTTTTTGGACCCGGCTTTGTGCACGATGTGAGCATGGGGTCCTGGTGGAGGACCCGGAAAGGCCCCTTGGGTGGAAGGCACAAGAGGAAGGACGGCCCCTCCCCCTCCGAATTAATGAGGAAGACTCGGGGTCTTTCCACCCGCCTCCCCCTCCCCACTGCAGCTCCTTTGGCCCCCCAGTAACTGGCCCACCAGACCAGCCCGCAACCCAGCGCCTGGAGAGGGGGGTGTTGAGCTGCCGCCTGGGATGATGAAACGGACCAAATCTTTAAGACCAGTAAAGGCTCTTGGGGAGAAGCACGGAGGCGTTTCACCTTGTTTTGCTCGTTCTCACGAAAAAGAGGCGCTTCATCCCTTGGCCCGGATGAAGGCATCGGGCCTTCTGGGAGAGCAAAGGATGGGGAAGGAAAGAAGAGATTCCCGCTTGAGAAGACAAAAGTGTGTGTGTGTGGGGGGGGAACAGCTGAAATGGACAATGAAAAGGAAACTTGGAAACCCAAATCTGAACAGATTTCTTTTATTAGCTGGCCAGCCAGCTCTCTGCCCCAAGAATAAGCAGGTCCACTTCTAAGGGATTCTCTCTCTCTCTTTCTCTCTCCCCTTTATTTTAAAGTCATTTTTTTTAGTCCTTAGGGCTGTGGAGATACAACCTGAAGATGAACAAGAAAAAGTCTGCCCCAAATCCGGATGGTTCATGAGGATGAGCAGCTCTTTAGGGTGGAGAGAGAGGTTTTCAGAAAATTCCCTCCAAGATAGCAAAAAATAATAATAAATTACATCCCAAACAAAATCCCAGGAATAAATTATGCAAATAAAATGCCAGGTGCAACATCTGTCTCTCTCTCTCTCTCTCTCTCACACACACACACACGTGTGCGTGTGCATCCGGAGTGTTGTGCGACGGTCCTTGTCTCATGGACACACAGAAGGAAGCCCCCCTGAATCAGGACAAGCTCCCTATCCAGCGTAGTGTGCAAAGGATCCCAGGCTGGGACGCTTGGGTGGCTCTGGAGATTCTCACGGGATCGCCAGAGTGGGTTCTTCGTCAGCCCTGCAAGGGAGGGCACTCCGCCTTGCCAGAGGAGGGTTGGGGATTTGGGGGGGGGGGGGGGGGCTGGGCGGGGCAGTGGTCCCAGCCCCCCCACCTGTAGAGGGTGGTCCTGAGATAGAAGGCTGCCCATGACCTGGCCGGCCTTAGCAGCAGAGCCCCCCACCCCCCCGTGTGGCTCTTTGGCAGATGGTGCAGCCTTTGGCGTCCATTGAACGGCTTCCCTTCGGCTGCCTGGGTTTCGCTGGGCGTAACTGGGACCCTCAGCCTGCAGCAGAGCCCCTCCCTCTCTTTACTCCAGCTTGCGGATGTAGCCGTCCACGGTGGGGATCTCGACGTCCTGTTTCTTGACCGGGTCCACCATGTCCTTGTATCTCTCTCCCCGGTGACGCTCCAGGGACGGCCCCCAGTTGGGTTTGGGCTTGCAACAGTAGACCAGCCTCTGGAAGGAGGAAGAGGAGGAGGAGGTGGGATTCCTGGGCTTGGTTTGTCTCCTGGGGGCTTTGAGGTCCTTCTGCCACCAGCCTCGCCTTCTTGCCTCCCCCCCCCCCGGCAACACTCACCTGCCACAGGTTGCCTTTGGCCTTGGCCATCTTGTAAAAGGCCACCACCGGGATCCAAATGAGGCAGAAAATGATCATGCACCAGCCGACGGCCGTTCCCCACTCCGGGTACTGTATCTTGCCGTACTTGGGGGGCATGAAAGTGATCAGGGACCAAATGAGGATGGCCTGTGGTAGGGAAAAGAAAAGAGAGATGAGAGGTTGCAGCTCTCAAAGTGCACTCCAATCACCATCATCCTCAGCCAGCATCTCTTCCATAAGACACTCGGCTTCTGGTGGCCAAAAAAGCCTAAAGGAACCACAGTCAACTTCTGGCCTCTGGGATGTGGGAAGGAGCAGATGATGATCCAGTTTATCAGAGCCTTAACACAAATCCTGCCAAAATTCAGAATTCAGATCTTAACGCCTTCCTTCCTTTCTTCCTTCTCTCCCTCCCTCCCTCCATCGTCCCTCCCTTCATTCTGCCTCCCTCCCTCCTTCCTTTCTTCCATCCATCATCTTTCCTTTCCTTTCTCCTTTCTTTTCTTTTTTCTTTCCTATCCTTTCCTTCCCCTTCCCTCCCTCCCCCCCTCCCTGTGGTCCAGCTGCTAGCTTATCTTTTGCCAAACTTGGCCAGCAATTATCTGCATATTTGTTGAACCTCACAAAGTCCAGAATTCTGGCTTTCAAAGAGCAAACACCCCCAGCAAAGAGACCGTCTACCTGTGCCAGGCAGAATTTGGCCCATTGACTTTTTGTTCTCGACTAAAGTCTGCTGAGAGTCAAAGACAAAACATTCCATGGACTTGGGTTGGTGTGTGTGTGTGTGTGAGAGAGAGAGAGAGAGAGAGAGAGTGAGAGAGAGAGTGAGAGTGAGAGTGAGAGAGAGAGAGAGAG